CCCCAAAACCCCAAAACCCCAAAACCCCAAAACCCCTTGATTACCTTAAAATACTGAAATATTTTCGATAAAAATTAAAAATAGCCATATATGTCGTCTCAAATCCAATACGATAAGAAAAATGATGCTTATAAGTTATTAGAAGTCTCTGAGACTGCCAAGACTGCTGATATTAAATAAATCATATTTCAAATTAGCTAAGAAACATCACCCAGATCTCGCAACAGGAAATGAGATGCTTTTTAAGAGAATTAACAACGCTTATGAAATTTTGAAAGACGATAAGACCCGTATTCAATATGATGAGATTCGTAATCAGACTTTATCCGGTAAGAAACCCACTTAAAACTCATGAATCGCGTTTTAAATTTTTGAACATGATTTTATAATATTTTTACAATATAGGAAAGTCATCATCGAGCCGATCTTATGGAGAGTCTTACCAAGGCTCTTCAAAACAGAATACATCCAGTAGGAGCAGATATCAGCACACTAGGCAGAATTATGGGAGTTATTATAGTGATTTCTCAAACGACCATGACTTCTCTGGCTTCTACACAAAGAAAGACTACAAGAGAACAACCCAAGGTGCTAACTATGATGAAGCTAAGAGAAATTGGGAGAATAGAAGGAGACAACAAGAGCAATATCAAAGAGATCAACAAAAAGCTTATCAGAAGTATGAAAGCTCTCAGAAAAATAACCAGTCAAATTATAAGAGCTACTACAGAGATACGAGTCAATACTCAGGTAGTTATGGCGAAGATAACGCGAAATATCAGCAAGAAAAGGCTGAGCAGTACAAGAGGTACAAGAAGTTTTATGATGACTTCAAAGATTCCAAATTTTACAAAGAAAATTTTGACGGCTTTGAGTCCAAATTCACTCAAGAAAAGGCCAAAAGAGAGAATATGTATGAGAAATGGAAGAAAAATCGGAAAGCATCCAAGCCACAGAAGAAGTATGGGAAGTATACCCCAAGCAAATACAGTCCGTTCTATCATGCTAACAGGGTAAAGATGATGAGGATCCTGGGGAAGTACACAAATTTCTACAAAATAATCAACATCCGTCAAGGAAAGACAGATCGACTATTCATGGATGCCTTGAGAGCCTTTAAGAGAAGGACTAATAAGGAAACTATCAATAGAGGCTTCCTCACCTTTAAAGATTTCTCTAGGATGTTTCCTATAAAGGCAGCAGTAGCCACCCTTTTTGGAATGAGCTGTATGTATAATGCAATGATTAGAATGAAAATATAATATTTTCTTGGGATTTCAATAAATTCTTATAATTGTGGGGTTTTGGGGTTTTGGGGTTTTGGGGTTTTGGGG